ATATATATATATATATATATATATATATATATATATATATATATACATATTACATCGCGATATGCAATACATTATTAACAAATTCTAGCGCAACGATTTGTTATGTTTTTATGAAATAAAATCTCCTCTTAATGGATAGCTATCTAATTGTATTGTTATTTATCTCACGTGCATATGCAAATCCTGCACGATACCATGTATAACAAATGAAACGATTATTAGCACGACACGCGTGAGAAATAGATAATTATGTTGCATAAGTGCTCTGAGTATCTATCTCGATTCGTGGGAACTTACACGAGAATATAACGATGTGATGTTTATGATAAATTTTATCGCAAAAAAGTTGTTCTATGTTCTCAACGTGCTATCGAGAAAAAAACTCGAAATTAAACGAAATGCCCGATGCTTTTAATGTAATTTTGTTACTTTTAAGTTATCACTTTATAAGTACACATACATAGTATGATAACTTAGACCTGCGTTTACGCTCTAACTAGAATTATCATAGTTATTGTTACTTAATTATATTTTTAAATCGAATTGTGTGTATATTTTTATATTATGCTGTTTATATTGAATCGTTGTTATTGTATGTTAATCGTTCGACCGTGCTGTTTGACCATTCGTGGTCGAGAGAGGATTTTGTTGAAGCCTCGAAGAGCACAAGAAACATCACACACGTACGTACGCACGCACGCATACGAAGCGGGAGCACGCGGATCTGTATCTTCTCGACTCCAGTTTAGAGCCCCGTCACATTCTCCCGCTCGTTCCCGCTCGTAACCACCTACACCGTAATCGCGCCGCGCGTCGTCTCTCGTGTGCGTCCGTTCATTCATCCGTGTCGCCGTGTCGGCGCGTGCACGTGCACGCACGTAACTTACACGCACACGGCGCGACGACGACGACGACGCGGTCAAGCCCGACGACGACGACGACGACGACGACGACGACGACGATGACGACGACGACGACGACGACGACAACGACGACGACGACGACGACGACGACGACGATTGTGAATGAAATAGTTGGATCTGTCAGTGCCAACTATCGCGCCGTTCTCGGCGTACACGGTGCCTCTCTTAGATCTTATCTATCGCCGCACGTTATGCACGACGCGCGTAAAAGGGTAAAGTGGCCGCGAAAAGAGCGCGATTAGTGCGACTTAAGGTCGCGCGCCTCGTACAGGAATCGAAACCGCTCTGATCTCGGTGAGTTCGATTCTCGACGCTTTGTGTGAATACAAACAAACTGATCAACCGCGACTGCGGTGGCTGTGAACGCCAGCGACGATTCGCATAAAGTCATTCAATTAAAATTGCAAGACGCTAGAGTTTATCTGTTTCGTCGGGAAATAATTATTCGACTATAATTCAAAGAGAGATAAAGAGAGATCACAGATGATTATTTTGAAAACATGAACTTTTACGACTCTTTCGTTTCCTCGCACAAAGCCTGAGAATACACGCTTTTTTTTGCTTCACATATAAGCGCCAGAAACGCAAAACACACAAAATATTCGGTGAGATTGACTTCGTGTTTGTAATTTGACCCTGAACTACTTGTGTAATTCTCGAATTACAGTCGATAAAGTTTTTGATCCCTGAACTCACTGAAATTATATTGGCCCCTGCGCGCGGCAGCTTTTGCGACGATCTACGTTGTTTTATTTACGTAGCATTTTGCGATATTCTGGAAAAGTTCCCACTTAGTGATAACATCACGAGACGACCGATAACGAATGAAGTAATCGACCGCGCGATGACGGTTCCAGACATGAGACGTTGATCTTTGATACTAAAAATAATCGCGTTCTTAATGCCGGATCAGGGAATGACTCCAATTACAAAATTCAGCGTCGCGAGGCTCCTTTTTCGTGTGCGGCTGTTAGTCAGCGTCGGATTTATGTGACTCATTTGGAGCGAAGCTGCCCGCGAGAGCAGATGGGATCTACAAATTTTACTCCGATCATCTGATTGTTTTCTTTTCTCTTTTTTATTGATCACGCGTATAAGCGCGAAATGCTCGTTTCATCTCATCGCCTCCACTTCGGCGTATAAATAGAGAGACGTATGATAAGCGGGTTTCTCGGGCGAAGTGTAGCCGATACCTTCGCATGGACACTCGAGCGAAAATCAGATGAGTGCTCGCGCGATCGTCAAAATGCGGTGCGACATCGCGGTCATTCGGACCGCGACGACAAGGAAGAGCATCGTCGTCCGGCGCAGCTGACCACCGTGTGAGTATTAACGGAGGCACCTCCGTGTTTGCACCTTGCGTGCGATTCTTATCCGGCTCGCGGACGAAAATAAAATAATAGCGCGGCGTGCGCGAGAACGAGAGTGCGAGCGAGCCGGTGGATAAGATACGGGAGAGACGAGAGGTATCAGAGCGTACGTTAAGTTATTGCCCGTCATGGTCGAACTTAAACACGTGGAGTAATTTATCAATCTGCGAATATGTTACGGAAGCGCTTAGGCGCTCGCGTCGCCCGGAGAGCGGCCCGCGGCTTCGTCGCGCCGACGGGCTTGCGGAAAAGCGTCGCGGCGTTGAAAACGCGAAGACGGATGTCCGGAAACACGTTCCTGCCATGTTTTGTGGTAAATAAATATGTAGATGGGGGAGAGGTTTGCAAAAGTTTGTCGGGCTTTTTGTCCCTTTTATTAATTCTAACGAAATAATTTCCAAGTATTTGCCGTCGTTGTTCAGCACTTTCTGCCACCTTTCAGGTAACTGTCCGATTCTGCGTCTCTAAGATGATTTCTCGTCTTTGAAGCCAACGAAAATTATCAACGATCCGACAAACTTTTGTGCAGGTTTCTAATATAACGAGAGAAAGGTTAAACTTGAAAGTTAAACTCGCAAATTCTCCAATGCACCACCGAGGTGCGCAACGCACGGCATTCGCACATCTGTGAAGAAACATCGGGAGACGTGGAGACCGATATAAAAACGCGAAGACACGTCCCAGAGAGACGTCCGTATCCTAACGACGAAGAAATTTCTTAAAGAGCGTTAATTTCAAATAGCAAAATCAGTTAGATAAACAATGCAAAATGTAGAGCACTCGCGGAGATCTGCAACTCTCCATTCTTCGATGAATTAAGTGAAAGCTTTAGCTGAGCTCAGCAGATAATTGACATTTTTACAATGCGTCCGGTACAAGTGACGTATAACGCGCGTGCTCGCGTTAAACTCTTATCACTCGAGGTAATAACGGATAAAACCGAGATATTCCACACGCGCGAACACACTTTGACAAGTGCGATGCGGAGCGGCCGCGAATACGAGAGTCGCGAGAAAGTGAGGGAGAATTTCGGCAACTTCTTCATCTCGTCGTCGCGCGTCTGCTGCAAAATGACGAGCAGAAGCTCGCACGGCCGAGACTCGCGTGTAAAAATATCGCGACGGCGACGTCTCGGATACCGGCGGCGCCGAGTCGCCCGTGTGCACGCGCGCGTGTGATCCACCGCGTCGTGAGAGACGTCCTCTCGAGTTGCATGCGATAACACTTTGCGTAAACCGGTCGCGACTTCCATGTAAATGGATGCTGATGGACACGTGTCGGTTATCGGTCCGGTCGCCACCTACCGTGTCGTGAGTTGCTCTCGACGGTCATCACCGAGAGTACACAACTGGAGAACCGAATGTAAGAGATAGAACCGTTTATATTTAAGGGAGAACAATGTAACTTTCGCTTCTTTATTCCAAGTGGAATTTTGAAAACGGGTCGCAATGCAGCAATCCGTATATTCTATCGTATTGTTTCTACATAATCAAACATGCCCAACCCGTATTTCATCAGTTTCTCTCGCGATCTTGTCTTACTGTCAAAACTGACGGACATTATATTTATCATGCACGATAGATAGAGAAAGGTCCGTCTCTTTTTTCCATATCTTGTTCGAAGAACAACGGTTTTATAATGTGCATTTAATGTATTAATAGAAACAAGAATAGAATATATTTTTGTAAAGACCTTGCGGGGCAATGTTTCTCTTGTGTGCATTTCGAAGAGAACGAGATGTGCAAATACATTGCTTTTTCTGTCCGCTGTGGACCTTTTTGGTGATTTTTTTCATAAAGTTATATCTGCTTTGCTGCTTGCTCATTGAAGTAGCCACGCGACGATTTCCTGTTTCGCCACTTGATCTCGTTATTTGTGCGACCGACTGTAGTGTAAGTTAACTGTATATAAGGGTTCGCTCGTAATTGAAGAAGCAAGTGTAAGGTAGCGCTTG